TTTAAAAAAGGGCCCCCCCCCCCCCCCCCAAAAAATGTTCATTTTTGAATAATTTTGAATAGGCGCCACCCCTGGATAAGCCCCAAATGTTCAATTTCGAATAAACTTGTTTTTAAAAATGCAAAAAAAAACCCATTTTCAATACCATTTTTTCTTCAGTGAGAACTTAATATATTGTTGTTATAACTCGGATCTGTGTGCTTTGGTGGCATACTATGTAGGCTATTTCCAATGAAGAGGGATTATTCAGTATTGCAATTGTATACAAAAACATTTAAAATATACTTTCTCACATAGCTACCCCTCAAAAACCATCCTGAAATAAAGGATGGTATGGGAGGTAAGTAGACAGCAACGACAAAAGCGATACACTTTTTAAAGAAGAAACAGTAATGAATTAGCAAAACAAAAAACGTTTTTTTTTTTTGTTTTTTTTTTAAGCTGATATATGAAACATGTACTGTTTGCATTGTAGTGATACACAGGTAGGCATTAAAGTAGCCTCATAATTTGAGATTATGGAAAAGTAAAACATTGTACTATAATATAGTACAATGTTTTACTTTTCTACTCACCGGGATTTGTACTGCTATTATATTTGCACCATTGGTCTTTAAAGCTCAGATTATCATTTATATTTTGGAAATTTTGATACTTGAACCATATAAAGTTTTATTATGAAGTTTTATTATACAGTATATATTGCCACAATAATAGAATAATAAACAAAATTTAAACACAGTATTGACTAAAAACGTTTAGTGTGATAGGCTTAACTTTTTGTTTTTGGCATTGTTTTATTCATAGCTTTGAACAAGCAAAAATGGAAACCTACAAATGCAATATAAAGTACTTTAAAGATAGAATTTATTGACACGAGCGGACCTGGTTTCACATTTGGGGCTGGGGGGGCGGTGTCAATTTTTTTTTTCACAAAAGAAAGGATCTTGTCCTGGAAAAATTTTGATTCCTAGAGAGTGGGAAATGAGCTTTCCAGACTTCTCATGCCTATTTATGTGTGTATATATGTAGGCCCCTACATAATTTTGAAAATATTGATCGCCAGATTATTCGTTGGTGCATTATTTTATCGTTTTGCTATTTGTGGTGATGACTACCTCGAAAGATGCACCGGAAGCTCTCAACAGAGCCTTCATTGCATCCTAGTGCCTAGCCTAGGTGTTTCTAATGAAGATGAAACTGTCCTAAGAAACGTGGTCGCGGAATACTTTTCCCCTGATAATTCCGAGGAGGAAATGAGTGATTTAGAAGACACCGACGATGAAGAAGAGGAGTCAGAAGAAGAAGTGGAAGTAGGCATAGGACTAGACCAAGATCATGATTTTGATAGAGAAGACATCAATTGTGAAGATCCAGCTATTGTTGTCAGCCCAGCAAAAGAATTTGCACAAATGTTTTTCCCATGTTTATTTTTAATCCATGGTAGGCTATATCCTATCCTATTCTTTTATTCAACAGCTAGGCTACAGGGGTGTCTATAAAACGAAGGCCGAAGACCCAAAAACGAAGACCCCCATTTTTTTCTATTTTATTTTGATGATAATCACCTGGCTGTCACAAAATCAAAATTACGAATTTTTTTGGGCGTCTGTTTGTGAAATTTTCAAGGGTCTTCGTTTTATAGACACCCTATATGGGTGTCTACAAAACGAAGACCTAAGACCCAACATGCAGCGTGATAGTTCCAACTCTTTTGTAAACAAATTGAATGCGCATGGGCAAACCCGTAACTAACCTACGTTGAGCACTTAAATTCCTGAAATTAATGTACTCCGCAATGCAAGATGATCCGTTTAATGTTAAGGTTAACGTCGGGCAGCAAAAACTGCCTAATAACTATAGTTGCCATAAAGTTGTTTAATGTTTAACATTTATATATCGATTTCTTGGTTGTTGCGATTATCCATACCAAGGTCCATAGGCTCAACATCATTCATCAATTTAACAATGCTTTTCAATTATTCTTTTTAAACTGTTTTTAATTATTGTTATTATAGCAACACTATATAGTATACATGACTAGGTGACTTGATTAACTTTATTTTTATTTCTCCTTTCTTTTCATGCTGTTCACAGTTGTTTCAGTTACAACAAAGATCTTCACAGCTGAGAGGGATTGCTTGACACCGATTCAACCTAAATGTTCAACTAAAAAACGCCCAAAAGACAAGAATCCACCAAAATCAATGTTAATTGTTGTCTTTCAACTTTGCCAAACAGATACTTTTGGGGAAAAAATACTGTAGGCCTACTATCCTGATATTCTAACGTGCTGATATTATTTTACCAGTACTCAAAATTTCTGCTACATAAAAAAAAAAAAAAACAAACAAAAAAAAAAAGAAAAACAAACAAACAAAAAAAGAAAAAAAAAAGGAAAAGAAAGACAAACACCAATTTGACTAAATGTATTGCAAAGACATCTTTCATAGCCAATTTATAATCTGGTGTTGCAATAAAACAATTCTTCAATCTATAGTAGGCCTATAGAAATTTCAAAAGTAAACATGTTAGCCCTCAATATTATTGATAAAGTAAAGACAAATTTTTAATTATTGGAAGCATGTTTCCCAAGATAAAGAAACCAAACTTTCTTTATAATACTTTTTTTAATTGTTTAAAAATAGCAAAGTAATTTTATTAAGAAATTGATTATGAACTAATATAGCAACACAAATTTCTCTCATTAGAAATACTGTACCAATATTGACTGGACATAAAACACAGAAACAAAATATATATAAAATCAACTGGTTTTAATTAAATAAAAGTTCGTTTTGCATATCCAATGACAAAGTGTTGTGCTACCTCCCAGAATCTATCACTGTAATAGTGCATTTGAAGTACGGATCATCTACTAAGTCTTGCTAACTGCTAGGGCTTTTCCCCCTCAGTCTGCAATATCACTTTAGTATATTTGGTACATAAGTCTTGAGTATAGGCTACTTGGCTCTACCTCCTCCGACCATCTATAAATGAATACAACATTTATATAGAATGGTATGC